CCGAACAGTCTTTTACTTTATACTTCACACAAATTACCGACAACTTTTTGTATCACAAGGCGATATTTCCGAGGTGTTTCAATAATAAACTTGCAGCTTTAAAACATTTACTATTACAATTCCTCTTGCTTTATTCATCTGATAATCGCAGTCCAAAGATAATATAATGATAAAAAATATAAATATAAGATAGAATAATAACCCGAGGCGCCCACATAGTCTAAAAAATTGCGCTCTTCAAATTGCTTCACGTCTTACTTGCTAACCGTGTCTGCTCTCAGGGAAATATGTGTGAGACTTTGTCTTAATAGCTACAGGGAAATATATTAGACTTTGTCCTAATAGCGATGTAATTTTTGACCCTTTTGTGGGTCACCCTGGCCCTGAAATAGGGCGTATCAGTGCTACGTCATCTCTCTTCTCGTGCTTTGTGAAATAGTATGACTAATTAGACAGTATGGCCCATTTGTTATCTCAAGTGCTCTTGTCTTTATCAGTTGGATCTGCCTTGCCTTGATGGATCTAAAGCGTCTTACATTCTATCACGTACACGTCTGTGTACAANGTACATCTGCCTCGGCCTTGATGAACCTAAAGCGACCGTACATCTGCCTCGGTCTTGATGAACCTAAAGCGACCGTTCATCTGCCTCGGTCTTGATGAACCTAAAGCGTCCGTACATTCTATCACGTACACGTGTGCGTCTTATTTGCTCTTAACTGATGCTGATTCCACAAGGACCAAGGGGCTGTAAATGATGCATGTTGCTTTTAAGTCACAGACACAGCCAAGACGCAATACTTTTATGGCACCTTATCCTTGAGTTTGGTTGCAATAGAAATTAAAGACTGTACCAACTCCCATTATGCAATGTATTGATCAACATTTTCTCATAAACCGTATTGCTCCTGTTGAAATCTCGAATCTATTCTACCAATGCTTGATTACATTAGCGTTCAAAGTTCACAATCCTTAATTATACTCATATACTCAATATTACCTTTTAATGTATTACATAATCATTTTTAGCATCTCGTGAACATTGTAATGGTTTGTTTTTCTATTAAATATTTAGTTGAACGTTTCAAAAACTCGTACAACGAAACCAGGCCAAAATCCTAATAAGTATCAATGAGAGATTTTTTTTTCGACGGCGTCCCTCACATGATGGAGCGTGGCGTGATGCTCTTGTTGTGACCGGTGGACGCCAGGGTTACCTACACAGAACGACTTTTACTTACACAAGAGGCTTTCTGTGTCCTGTGTGTTGATGTTTAGTAAATATATCATGTACGTACCAAATACCTTCGCTACAAACATCATATGAGAAACAGAAACTTGCTTCGTCGTTTTTGTAATTCTTCAAAAAGGAAGAACGCAGTCATGGAAATTTGCATGCTATCCCTTTACATTAAATACCTCGATTTCGTGACCAACGTAAGGAAGTAATAGTTAATTTTTTACAACACTTCTCTTTAACTTCACTTCTTGTTTGTTTGTTTGTCTGTCTGTCTGTCTGTCAGCCACAAATCTTGTAATCGAAATTTAATACACTTCTACTTATCCTATCGATCTGAAATTTTGCACACTTGTGTAAAGTTGGAGACAATGCATGAATCAAATGTCAAAATAAATGATTTTAAAAATTAAAAAAAAAAATTCTTTTTCAATATTAAAAAAATGGAAAAAATAATTTTGTCAGCTACAAATCTTATAACTGATATTTGACACACTTTTACCTGTCTAATTGATCATTAGATGAGAAATTCATTGTACATCTGTAAGATTGGAGATACTGGATTCTTTGGAAGTGTTGTCTTTAAAAAGTAATTTTTAAATGTATATTATTGTATTCAACACGAGTGACACTTCGAAGCCTCAATGAGCTGACGGGGTTAATTTTTTAAAGAAATTCACTGAGTGAATGAAAAGATTTATCTCACTAATTCATTACCAATCGAAGTAAAATGCTAATAAATTGAAATAATTCTCGCGCATTTTAGTGGCTCAATAAATGTTGTTCCTATAGGTTAACCTTTTTGAAAGGTTAACTTATATGAAAAAATTTATAGATGAAAAATATTAAAATTAGCTTATATGAAAAAATATTATAAGTTTTTAATATTTGCAGCTCTTCATCTCATCTAAAAAAGTACTGAATTATCTTGACAGCTTCCATGTAATAGCATTCATATTATCCAGGTGGATTCATCATTTCTAACGCTTGTTAGAGTTTTACAAGATGTTATGATAGGAAAACCAATTATCTCTGCCTGTGATAGTTTCATTAAAGACCAGTGCGTGCCTGCGTGCGGTGTGTCTGCGTGCCTGCGTGCGGTGTGTCTGCGTTCATGCATGCGATGTGTCTGCGTTCATGCATGCGATGTGTCTGCGTGTCGTGTGTCTGCGTGCCTGCGTGCGGTGTGTCTGCGTTCATGCATGCGATGTGTCTGCGTGTCGTGTGTCTGCGTGCCTGCGTGTGGTGTGTCTGCCAGAGAATTTGTTTTATTGACGATTTTCTACTTAGTTTTTTCAACATATCGAACAATATTTTTCGTATGCACAGGTAAATCGAAAATCAGGGTACCGATGGATTTGCGATTTGCCTGTGCAAACAAAAAACATTGTTCGATATGTTGAAAAATCTAATGAGAAAATCGCCAATAAAACAAATTCTCTGGTCTTTAATGAAACCTGCCTAAAAGAACAAATTCTGCCAACCTATACTAAGCTTGTGATAGTGTGGACACCGAGACTGAGATCGTTCTGTAGTCGTTCTCAAGAATGACAGTGCATGCATGCATGTGATCGTTCACAACCGTTGTCCTTGAGAACCACTCCTTTAAGAGGTTGCCTAGCATAAAAATACTGGCAGGAGTATGCGACGCCCAGTGCAATATACTGTCAGTGTTTGATGAAGTAGTAACTTGTACAGGTCTTCTCCGGTGAGTTATGTTATCACAGATCACTAGCTGTTATTCTAAGCAAAATTTATATTGTGGCTTTTTTCCTCGTGAAATAATTCGCAGCATTCTTCATTGTCTGTAGATGTCATGCATTTTATAACGTTTGAATTTGTGCTTTGTAGTAATGGGTGTGCGGCAATGCGCACGTTAATAGGAAAGAAAATGAATTCCATAGCTATTTGCTTAATCATAATGATTGGCATATACGTAGGTTAACGGCTAGGTGAATGTATATGTTGTCAAATCACCTCTAACTGTTGATTTGCAGCGACTCAACGGATGGAAAATATTGGACAAATAAAGCGATAATGACATTAGCACGTATTGATAAACATTTTTTAAATACTCGATGCAGACGAGGCTAAAATTTTGCAAAAAGGAAAAGTTATTTATCCTAGGCGTGGTGCAAACCTTCTGCCGGTGCAACACTTGGCGTTGCCTTCTGCCGGTGCAACACTTGGCGTTGCCTTCTGCCGGTGCAACACTTGGCGTTGCCTTCTACCGGTGCAACACTTGGCGTTGCCGTTTCGTCTGACATGACCACTTTACGGATTTTTGTATTTCCGTATGGTGATTCGAAGTGTGTATGAATTTCTAAATAAATCATAATTTTTCAGTCACATTATAAATTTTCAGGAAGATGGCGCTGCCGACGGGTCAAAAGATCGTGGAGTTGACGCCTCGTCAGCAGGAGTTCGAAAAGCTTTTCACAGGACACTACACGGGGGCTTTAACTCTGCAGCCTGAAGGCTGGTATCTCCCGCAGGCAATAAAGAAATATTGCCAGGAAATTAAGGATTTTGATGTTTGTTTATGTTCATTCTATGGTCCATTGGCCGTGGGTGTAGCTGATATAGGCGAAAAATGTAAAATTTTTAACTGACTAACCGACTCAACCCAGGTTAAGCATCTCTCTAAGCACATACGAGGCATGTTTTTTAAGTCAGTACCGTTTTGGAATTAAAAAAGGACGTGCAAAGATATCGCAATAATTTTATTTGTGCATGAAAGCTTGTACCTTAATCTATTTTTCTACATAATTTCCGTGAATATTGAGGCACTTGTCATAACGTGGCACCAGTTTCGGAATACCCTCCTGATAAAATTCTGCCGCCTGACTTGTTAACCACTGCATCACAAATGAAGAGTCCAGTGTGATCCATTTGATACATCAAGTGCAGTGCGATGCATTTGATACATCAAGTGCAGTGTGATGCATTTGATGCACCAAGTGCAGTGTGATGCATTTGATGCATCAAGTGCAGTGCATGTGATGCTTCACACTGCATCAAATACATCACACTGCACTTGCATAAACACGTGGGCGGTCGGCGTCTTCAAGACGATAACGAAGTAAAACATTTGTGATGCAGTGGTTAACAAGTCAGGCGGCAGAATTTTATCAGGAATGTATTCAAAAACTGGTGCCACGTTATGCCAAGTGCCTCAATATTCACGAAAATTATGTAGAAAAATAGATTAAGGTACAAGCTTTTATGCACAAATAAAATTATTGCGATATCTTTGCACGTCTTTATTTAATTCCAAAACGGTACTGACTTAAAAAACACGCCTCATAATTGAAGGTTTGCAACATGTGGTGAAGAAATGTTATTGTTGAAATGATTGGCCAAGCTTTTTCAATTAAAATATAAAACTTGCGATTGAGATAAAAAAATTTATATCTTTCCTGTGTTATACGAATAACCGCAAAGCTATTTTTCTTACTGCAGAAAGTAATATCGCATAAGTACAAATGAACAAGATCAAGTGCTACCCATAATTTGTTCGCAGTTCGAAGAGAATGACGTCCTCGTGATGACTGTGCCAAAAGCTGGCACCACTTGGACTCAAGAGGTCGTCTGGACCATGAGGAAGAACCCCAACCTTGATAACCCGACCAGCAGTCTTCCTCTCCACGTGCGATCTCCCTATCTCGAGTAAATCTTGAGCTTAGTATTTAAGTAAGACGGTATTAGCTGGGATGTCTTCACATCGTTGTACAATTTATAAAAAAATAACTTTAAAGACCCATTGTAATCGTTCGATCGAACTGAAAATTACAGCGGAGTATATAGTACACGTAGCCGTCAAACAAAAAGCTAACGACACACAGCTGTGTTACGGCAACTGGTTACGTTAATGATGTATCACATGGGCTACATACATCCAATTACTGAGGAGTTAGTTAATTTGACATTATATCCGACAAGGAATAGAATTGACGTTATATATTCATTGCAGCATTATTATTGACCGATTTTAAGTGCATTGGGTTAGTTCAGACACTAAAATGTATACAGGGTCATCAATATTTAGCGTTACAACTTTGAGTGGTTAGAACTATGAAATGAAACACAATTGTGAATGTTTGAAAATGTATTTATATAGGCAGAGGTTCAGAGATACAATTCCCACAATTTCATTCAATATGTCTACCATCTACATCAATAACGAGTTGTAGACGCTGAGAGAAAGCCTTACACGAGTCACGAATGACACTCTGCGGGATTTTGGCCCACTCCTTCAACAGTTTGACCTTTAGGGCGTCCAAACTGCTATGGTGAACGGTCGAGACCTTGCTCTCAAGGTATGACCAGATCCCAAAATCCAGAGGATTCAGATCGGGTGACGATGGGGGCCATTCATCTTTGGTAATGAAGTGGGGAACATTCTCGGACAACCACTCCTGAGTCGATTTGGCTCCATGGGATGGTGCAGAGTCCTGCTGGAACGACCAAGGACGTTTTTTGAAGTGCTTTCGTGCCGGGCATTGCTTCCTAGGGCATTGCTTCCTAGTCACCACACGGGATCCTCCGTCCCATTCTTTGACCAAATTCGATCATTTTGGGAGTTGAAGTGGGGTTCAACATTGAATATCTTCTCATCACTGCAAACGAGGTTTGGCAGTGTGCCATCATGAATGCGGGAAAAAAGAATCTTGGATCTTTGGAGGCGTTTGTCAACAACTTGAGCAGACAGTTGGTGTTTTTTGACATGTTTGAATGGGGACAACTTTAGGTCCTTCCGGAGAACAGTCGACAAGGTTCCATACGACACATTTGTCTGTTTTGCGAGTGTATTGATTTTGAAAAAACAATGTTACGCTAAATATTGATGACCCTGTAATATGCGTGACATACGACCGGAATAAATAATAATTTATTGAAGCGAGGAAGTTAACTGAAAGTTCCATGTCCCTCCAGAGGTGATATTCTTGCTGAAGGACTAAGCGTCGAAGAGAAGGGAGGTTTTGCTGAGGTCACGAAGCAGCAGGGCAAGGATCCCAACAAGGGCGTGTTCCTCAACATCGCAAGGGTCGCGGAGAGACCTCGAATTTTCAAAACACATCTCTCCTTCTCCTTTATCTCTGACACGGCGCTCTCAAAGGCAAAGGTATGAATTAAATTATAAGAATAATTACATTGCTGTGAAACGTTAAGTAATTATTAATAAAAATAGCATAATTACAGTCCTATTCTCGTAGTTTAAATCCGATATAGCGCTGAACCTAATTGGGTCTTCACGTGCATTCCATTCACTTGATTTAATTTTACGCATTTATATATAAATCAACACTGAGAAAAATCACCGTTAAACGGTCTCACCGGCGTTCTAGTGGCCGGCCGACACGTGAAAAGAAACACCGTATGACCGTTTCTATTAAAATTTAACACTAGAAACCCGTACAACATATGAAAAAAATATAACTCAGTACTCACTGCAGTGAGTGACAGAAAGCCCATTTTCTCGTCGGCGAAAATGTGAAGCCGCGGACGGACAGACAGACGGACGTACATGATTAGCACAATGGCGCCTTTTTTCCATAAATGAGAAAATGCGCTAAAAACGGATAAACAGTTCATTTTCAGGTGGCGGCCGGCCACTAGAATGCCGGTGAGACCGCTTTTTTTTACCGTTTTTAGCGCATTTTCTCATTTATGAAAAAATGCACTATTGTGCTCGCCATGTCCGTCTGTCTGTCCGTCCGTGACTTCGCGTTTTCGTCGACGACTAAATATGCGCTCTCTGTCACTCACTGCAGTGAGTACTGAGTTATATTTTTTTTTCGAACAGTGTATAGCGTAATTCGCTGTTATAAGCTATCATCAATGTTTAACCACACTGCTGCTCAGAAAATTTAGTGGTAATATGATGCTACAAAGTCTTCTTACAATCATTACTCATTCCTACTCTTTCCTTCAATTTGTGCTTGGCTCTTTTGCTGCTCCTTCGTCCAGCATCTTTCTCAACGATCACATCATAATTCAGCACTTCACATCAATGTCACACACTAAATGTTAGTGTTAGTTAGCGAGATCCAATACGTGCTAAATAGGTTAGTCACATTTGGCAAGCAAAAATAATTTTTTAACTGTCAACACAAAAATATTCATTTCGTTGATTTCAGATTAAATTAAAGTTCGTATTTCATCCCAGTTACATGCTTTCATTTCAGCCTGCTGGTAAGGATGAAATTCGAGAAGAGCTTTGAAAACAAGTATTAGTATTTATCACGGTCGTGCACTCACTTGGAACTGGTTCAACTTCCTTCAAAAATGTCATGTCCTCGTTCAGCAAGATTGTGTCCATACAAAACCATGAATAAGAATGATGGAAATACAAGATCAGATGTGACTTCCTTACCTTTAATTGTTACCATTCGTGGGTGAACATGTAGCCATTATAGCATATTAAATGATCAATTTACAATGGTGATAAGATCTACTTTTTATTGCATGTCCTTAATTTGTGTTTATGTCCCTTTAACTTGAAAATAAACTCAATAACGCCCTCATGTAAACTAGAAAACGTCCGTTACCGCTCACTTTTTGCACCACTGGTCTGAAGCTTAGGCTAGATTTTCGCTAAATTTTTGATAATTATTAAAAAAAATAGTGGATGAAGTAGATACTACCTCCTAAAAATATAGGGATAAAATCGTTCAAATGAACGTGTTATCCAAGTTCCATGTTAACATCCTGCAAAGCGCGATTGCATTTAAATACGGTGAATAACCATTGTGCAGATTCTCAAGACAGGTTTAATTATTGATATCACTTGTTTGCTTAAATCTCAAATTTACTAAAAATTTAAAAGCAAAGAATAGTCCACAGAAATTCATATCTTTATAGAAAACGTTTCGGAGGCCAGCTCCATCGTCAGTTCGTATAATCTAGAATCACTAACTAGAAATAACAATTTAATACAATGTTCTGTGCTGTCAGTGCATTAATTTGTGACTTCTAATTTGTGATTCTAGATTATACGAACTGACGTTGGAGATGGTCTCCGAAACGTTTTCTATAAAGATATGAATTTTTATGGACTATTATTTGCTTTTAAATTTTTAGGTTTAATTATTCTACTTCAGATTGTGTACACTATCCGCGACCCTAGAGACCTCTGCCTCTCGTATCACCATCATATGCGCCTCTTCAAAAATGAAGGATACACTGGAAGCCTCGATCAATACGTCGATGCATTCCTTGAAGACTCAGGTAAATCCCTTTTATTATTTTATATTGATTTAATAACATGCCTGTTGTGAACAATTTCCACATAAAATGCCTGACCATGCGAAGTGTGTAACTAAAAACCTGAAACTTCGCATAATTTGAATGTGGTGAATTGATAGAAAATATGTCGTTGTTGAGAAAAAATGTGCATTAATGTATAATAACATTCATGCAAAATTATGGTTGGTTTTGAAGCCTGAAATTAGAAATATTTTGCTGCGTATCCACGATACCTATCGTTTTCGGGACGTTATCTGGATCCGGAATTTTAACTATAATGGGCCTATTGGAGGGCATAGGAGGAGGGCATACTTTCTTTTCAATTTCTAAAACCGAAATTTGAAAAGTGAATTGTTGAATTATGTTTAAACAAAATTTTTCTAAATTGCATCGTTGTTGCTTGAAAAATTTTCAAGCACATCTGTTAGCGGTTGAGAAATGAGCTCTCATATCGCAGATATTATCTACCTCTCAAGGATAACGCTGAGTCGGTCTGCTTGTCAGGATACAATCGAACTTCGATTGATCCAACGCAAAAAGTAAACACATTTCGAGTTTTTTCTCGACTTATATAAGATTTTTGTAACAAAATATCGGTTGCAGTAACTGAGTGGTGGCGCATTCTGGAATCGGTTTCACGTAAATTTTGGTTATATTTCAATAACAGCCACTATGATCAGGAATTGGCAATGTGAGATAATAACCATTCAGTTCCGTCAAGAACAGCCCAAATGTAAATTTCTGCAATTCTCGAATGTAATAACGAATCATAATAAAATGTGGCCAGTGGACTAATATACAGGTCGATAACAATTCAATAGATCACATATATGTTCAGCAACGAGACAAGAACCAGTCGATTTCATGGACGAAGTGTACCCCTAGTGGAACTGGTGTAAGAGTAACATCGTGTGATGATGAGAAAACATTTGCGAGGATAAAAGCTCAAGATTTGAATTACTTCTTAGTAAAAAAATGATAATGCAACATAATTGTTACATAGCCTATTTGCAACAGTATACTGTTGGAAGATTAAAGAGTCCCCTCTTTTCGCTCAATTAATACTATTTAAATGAATGTTCTATTATAGTGCGAATTTAATGAAATGAATATAAAAAAATATAACTCAGTATACTCACTGCAGTGAGTGACAGAGAGCGCATTTTCTCGTCGACGAAAACTTGAGGTCACGGACGGACAGACAGACAATCCCAAGGCGGAGTTCACGAAGCTCAGCAAGTTTCTGGGTGTCGACCTGAACGAGGAACAAATTGACAAGGTGGGCAGAGATATTCCTAACCATGAATACTTGCTTTGCACCCTTCACCACAAAGATATTTTAAAACGTGAGTCTGAATGACGGTGTGCATGGTTCTGATGAACAGTTTCGAGCGTTTCGCTTTCTAAACTTATTGTAATTAAGAAGGAACATCTAATATCATTAGCTATTGGAGGCCAGCTATCCTCCCATCCCTACGTGACATCTCAAATCTTAGAACACGTACTGAATATTATACTATTTTATTATCATGTACATGGACTTATTTAACGTTTCGGACCATATGAAAGTTCAAAAAGTAAGCAAGTCAAAAGCGTAGTTTTGCTTTAAAATCTTAAGCGTGTAAATCCAGTGAAATTTCATAACAGCCTTTTCATCGATTGATCACGGGCTTACAATTTTTGGGGATGAATTTGAAATTAGCGATTATTTTTGCAGTTGAGGATGGATTAGCGATGCGTGTTTGGAATCCAGCTGTCAGAGCTCATTTTATTAAGCACTACCTGAGGATCGAGTTACGTGACCATGGTTCGTGAAGGATAAGTAGGACACGTGTGTCTGATAACATATCTTATATACGGGGTGGTTATACAGGAGTACGATACAGAAGTATAAGCTACGGCGTCCACCGTAAGGCCGGAGAACTCTACCGACGCGTTACATCGCGGAGCGCTTATCAACTACTGCGGAGAGGCCTTAATTAAGGTTGCTAGCTCTTATATAGCCTTCACTTCCGCCCACTACTAAGACCTTGATCGCGTGATCTATCGCGTGTCTTCCAGATGCTGACTAATACAATCAATCTCGATCAGGTCAAGTGAATATTACGTCTCAATAACATACAACTACAATGATCATAATGAGACGCCAGATTGACACCGGACGCATCAACCTCCAGCTTCGGCAAAAGAATTCAACCGGCAACACTCAATAAAGTGTATACAGCACTTTAAAGTGGGAAAATTTCATATTTTCAACAACAGTGCGGTATATTGTTAAAAGAATATTAGAATGTTTTATTCTTAACGATCTTCGCTCTCAAAATTTTTACGCTTGTCTGGTGATTAGATAAAATACCGCAAATATTGAAAACATACCACTCATGATATGCTCAGATTACAAACGGTACGAAGCGGTAAAAAGGAATTTTGAAATTCAAGTACCTCATCTTAAAATTATATTCATTCCATGGCGGCAGCTGTACAAATAAACGAACAATAAATATTCTAGCTAGAATTTACTCCATATGGTCATTTAACTAACATATCATGACAGAAGATGACTTGCAATAGCCTGCATTTAATTAATGACACTCTGAATGCGAATTACGGTTACATGAGTACAGGGAATTGAGAATTCATTCCAAACGTTTTTGATATTTTTGACCATGAATCCATAACCATGCATATAGAATATGTCTGACAAAAAATAGTGTTTATAGAGATGTAAATCCTGTTAGAGCCTATTCGGCAAACAGGCTCCGCATTTATTTAGTTTAATTACGCTAGCAATTATGTAATAGTAATGTGGATTTGTAATAGTTAGTTGGATTTTAATATTGTTGGCGTGTAATACTATCTTTTGATTTTAATGTACAAACCTGCATTCACTATACAAAATAAATTAGTCAGGTTCTAACAGAAACCCTGAACATGGAATGATTATAAAATACAGATTTATGGTCTTGATTATACACATCGATTTATTTGATTCAAACAGAAGATGTCTACTTCCTTTTATTCCTATTTGCATATAATCGTTGTTCGATATTAGCTCACGCTACCTCTTGAACTGTCCGCTTTAAAACTCACGGCAAACCATCAATTTTTAGTTTATCCTCGGCAGAGTTTCTTTTTCATAAAACATTTTAAACTGTCAGGTTAATTGTACTTTATTTTACGTTATCCGAGTGGTCAAACGAGGCGCGTAGAAGGTTCTCTACTACTGGCAGTGCGATTTAACAAGGGAAAAGATACAAATAAGCATGTCAACTCTTATATACTTAAAGACACCAAATTTCACCCTAATACAGAGCTGGGCACGGTGAGAATACAGGTTTGCTTGTCGACAGAGATCCTATTCTATAACAGCTGTTCATGGGACAACAGAAATTTGGTAATACTACTACAGACCCAGAACTATAACCTGCTAGTATCCCAAAGTTACACAGATGTACATCACCGGAATCTGTAGAAGCGGCCAATCCATGACGAATCCGGGGCTAGGCAGGACTTCGTCGAGTAGAATACGAGAACTTCTTCAAAAATCATTGAGGCCTTCGTTGACTTCGGTTGGCTTCGTGGCTTCGGTTGTCGGTAAACGGTGTGCGAGTAATCTAGTGCTTTCTTAGTAGCCAATCCGTAGACGTTGACTTCAGGAATGAACTAGGTAGGACTTCGTCGAGTAGAATACGAGAACTTCTTAAAAATCATTGAGGCCTTCGTTGACTTCGGTTGTCTTCGTGACTTCGGTTGTCGGTAAACGGTGTGCGAGTAATCTAGTGCCTTCTTAGTAGCCAATCCGTAGACGTTGACTTCAGGAATGAACTAGGTAGGACTTCGTCGAGTAGTATACGAGAACTTCTTCAAAAATCATTGAGGCCTTCGTTGACTTCGATTGTCGGTAAACGGTGTGCGAGTAATCTAATGCTTTCTGAACGGACACTTTTTATCTCACGCGCGGAGCTCTTCCCACAATACGTCTTGGTGCGGAACTCACTGTTTGGTCCGACTGCCTCTAACACCGGAACGCAACTCGCTGGCGGTGGCCCGCTCACCCCTACTAAATACTCCCCCGGTCTCGCGCATGCGCGCTAGACGGCTCGAGCTCCACACCCCTTAATTCAAACTTCGCTTCTAAACCCCAATCCCTATTCTTATCTTATTTATACTTTATTCCTATTCCTAATCATCGTCGGTTTTTAATAAATCATTTAACGGTTATAGTTATATTCTCCTATACTAATCAGACGATCAACGTATGCGACCTGCTGAATGACATGCTCGGTAAAAGGCTGTTTAGTTCTTTATTGTTATCAGAGGAGCTGTTAGGTGATCTGTAAATGACCCCTATGAGAAGGCTATCTTTGCCTTTTAGAGTAAGTTC